AATAAATAAATGAATGAGTGTATCATACAATGGAAACACTACTCAATAATCAAAACAACTATGAATGATAAACACTACAACCAACATGAATCTTAAGAGAGATAAATCTGAACTACAATTGTACTAAGTAAAAGAAGCCAGATTCACACTACTACCTTCTAACCCAACAACCCCCACAAAAGATATACTGTGTGGCTTCGTGTATTTAAAATTCTAGAAAAGTAGGACTAGGAATATAGCTCAATGGTAGAATACAAGGCCCTGGGTTCAACCCTCAGAACCAGGGGGAAAAAAATTTAAATTCTAGAAAAGCAAAAACCCTGTAGTGACAGAGAGCAGATGAGTGATTGCCTCAAGTGAGAGAGAAGGTGAAAGTGAAGGAATACAAAAGAACACCAGAAAACATCTGGATATGCTGATTATTATATTGATTGAGAAGATGGTTTCACAGGTATATAACATAGGTCACATGTAATATATGTCAAAGTGTGTATAGATAAAATGTATTAAACTGTATATACTAAATTTATGTATACAGCAGTATGTTGATTAGACATCAATAAAACTTTTTGAAATTATAAATGGCCAAATAAAAAATAACAGTGAACAGAGTAAACTCTAAAAAGGAGTCTAGGGGAGTACTAAACGAGATTTAGATTGTATTTATAGACTATCCCATAATTCCTGGCTTTTAAAGGAATCAGGTAAATCAGGTAGTAACAAAAGCACAGAATCTAAATATTGCAAAGCCCAGATTACGTTTAAACAGTACGAAATAAGAGTTAACAGGTTCAGAGCGGGGCCTGTAGCTCAGTGATAGAGCACTTATCTAGCATGTGTGAGGCACTGGGCTCAATCCTCAGCACTACATTAAAAAAAAAAAAAAAAAAGAGTTACAGATTTAAGCCAGGCATGGTGGCACATGCCTATAATCCCAGCAATTCAGGAGGCTGAAGCAGGAGGATCACAAGTTCAAGGCAAAACTCAGCAACTTAGCAAGGCCCTTAGTGAAATCATCTAAAAAAAAATTTTTAGATTGTTTTTTCTTGTATATGAACACAATGCCTTTATTTATTTTTATGTGGTGCTGAGGACTGAACCCAGTGCCTCACTCATGCCAAGCAAGTGCTCCACCACTGAGCCACAACTCCAGCCACTCATCTCAAAATTTTTAAAAAATAAAATAAAAGGGCTGGAGATGTGGTTCAATGGTAAACTGTCTCTAGGTTCAATCCTCGATACCAAAAAGAAAAAGTAAAAAGAGTTAGAACACAAGTAACAGTATTGCTTTTTAACAAGAAAAGGGGCACATTCTCTGGAGTAGTAAATAACAGGTGGGTTAAGCAGAGAATGAGATCAAATAAATACAATGCAAGTATATAAATAAATACAATGAGTATATAAGTACAATGCAAGAAATGTGAAGGTAAAGCATTGTGTTATCTCTAGAATATATGAGAAAAAGTCATTTGCTCAGGATATATATGTGATACACTTGAGAATTTCAAAGGTTTGAAGGATATAAACTATAAATTAGTACAAAAACTGCGGAAACACACTTTCCAAAGCACAGTAATAAGACTATTGGGGCTTGGTTCAAGTTGATCAATAATTTTAATGATACCTGCCAAAAAGCTTGTTCATCCTCAAATTTCGTTTGGCTGCTCAATCAAGGTTATCCAGGGTAAGGACTTTGTCAGGTGAGGGTAATTGAAAAATACAAACTGAGGTGAAACATTTCAGGTACTTGTAAGAGTGGACATTAGATTCTACAGCAGATAAGAAAGAAGGAGATGAATGAGAGAAATAAAATCCACAGATTACAGCTCTAAAATAGGTGGAAATCCTGCAGTATAAGATATTTTAGCAGAGAAACTGAAAAGGTAAAAGATTACAGTTGTGGAAGAAACTGAATCAGTATTCTGAATGAGGATTTTTCTGGTGATAAGATTTAAGCATGACCATGACAATGAAGATTGGTGTGTACAGAAAACCTGCACTTGTTGTATTTTACAAGTTTTGCTTATTTAATTTAAATTAATGACTACTAATATGGCTCCCCGCCCCACCGCCACCTGGTACTAGGGATTGAACCAAGAGGCACTTAACCACTGAACCACATCCTCAACCCTTTTTTGTATTTTATATTGAGATACGATCTCACAAAGTTGCTCTAGGCCTCTCTAAGTTGCTGAGGCTGGCTTTGAACTTGCAATCTTCCTGTCTCATCCTCCAAAGCCACTGGGATTACAAGTACATGCCACCACACTCAGCCAATATGGTCTTTTTTAAAAACATATTTATTTTTTAGTTATAGTTGGACACAGTATCTTTATTTTATATATTTATTTTTATTGGTGCTGAGGATCAAACCCAGGGCGTGGCACGTCCTAGGCGAGTGCTCTACAACTGAGCCACAACCCCAGCCCCCAGCCAATATGGTCTTTAAATTTACAAATCAAATTAATCCAACAGCAAACTTTGTTTAAATTAAACAAGTCTGAATATTCCACCACTTTCTCCAGAATTTTTATAAAGAAAGTTTCAACTCAGGCTTGTCTCTTTAAGTCTGTATTACACAATAAACACCTACTTATGTGTACCTTATTTTCTAATTTTATGTACCTCATAATTTAACACTTCACCATGAAGTGAATAAGTCACCATACTGCATTTGTTCTTTAATCAGTTTATGAGCTTTGTGTAAACAAAGAATAGGGATCTTTTTAAGAATACACTCAACTTCCATTTTCTTCAAAGCATGGTATTAAGTGTTACATTTGTGTTTCTTTCCTACTCTCAGATTTATTACCAAGTTAGATAAAAGAATTGAATAGCTAACTCATGATGGAGAAATAGATTGAAAAAAGGATAAAAGAAAAATGAAAGTATCAATAGAAAGCCTCTGGAGACATGGAAATAAATATACACAATAAATTTTCTGAGAAACTGGTATGGCTTTGATCAAGTTTGATGAATGAAAAATAATTCAGAACAATTCCTGTATTCAGAGCTATGGAAGATATTTCTGTGAATCCTCAAATAGTCTCAATATACTATACAATCATCCCTCATGCCTGGGGGCAGGGAGGAGAGGGAGAGTTCCAGGATCCCTGCAGACAGTAAGACCCATGGATATTCAACTGTCTTAACTGTCTTAAATAAAACGGCACACAAGATTTGCATCCTCTGGTATATCTTAAATCATCTCTAGATTACATATAATACCTAATGCAATGTAAATGCTATGTAAATAGCTGTTTAACTGTATTATTTAAGGAATAACAAGAAAAAAGTCTGTACAAGTTCCGTACAGACACATTTATTTTTCAAATATTTTTAATCCACAGTTAATTGAATATTCAGATGCAGAACCTGTGGCTACAGAGGGCCAACTATACTATAAAATGGGAGAAGAAAGATTTTGACCCCTTTCTATTATAATTCACCTTATTGCATTCAGCTTTCTTCACAGAGCAATATGACAAGTATTACCAGAAATTATAATTTCCTTTAGATGAAGATCATTTATAGTGATCCCAATTTAGACAGCCTAAAACAACAACAAAAATAACAATAAATATCCAGTGAATATCAATTCATGAGGGGGGAAAAAACTGAACTTAGAAGACAGAGGTTTTCAAACTTTCAAGTGACTTTACATTTTTACTATGTTCTAGTAACTAGATAGTTTAGCTATCAGTAGAAATATCTTACTTATTTAACCCAACTGAAAAAGGCTGGTATTCCTTTTTAAAACACACACACACACACACACATCCCACACACAAAATGCCTAGTTTCTTTCCTATAGAAATTATACAAGAAACTATACAAGAATATGAACAACATAATTTGCTATGATATCTTACATCTTACATAGTTAATAAATAGAAAACCTAGCAATTTAAGGAACAAAACTTATCTAAATAAACTGCATGTATATTACTCAGAATTAATTAAAGAATACCTGTAAATGCAAAGTTGCATATATGTAAACATAAAATACAACACTACTAACAAAGCAGAAAATTTTATTATCAATATTAATAGACTATAATTGACTGAACCAGTCAGGTACTAATTAATCTTCACAACATTAAAATAGCACTATCAGGGACTGGGGTTGGGGCTCAGCGGTAGAGCGCTCACCTAGCATATGCGAGGCACTGGGTTTGAGCCTTAGCACCACATAAAAATAAATAAATAAAGGTACTTTTTAAAAATAGCAGTATCATTAAAATAATTTCACAGATGAGAAAACTAAGACAATAACAGAGGTAAGCAATTCCATTCAAAACTGTATATTAAGAAAATTCCAATACAGGGCTGGGGTTGTGGCTCAGTGGTTGATGCTTGCCTTGCAGGCGTGAGGCACTGGGTTCAATCCTCAGCACCACATAAAAAATAAACAAAGATATTGTGTCCATCTATAACTAAAAACAAAAATGTTTTTAAGAAAATTCCAATACAGAATCAATCACATTTCACTAACTTTTAACTGAAAGAAATATGTCCAACAGAAAGAATATGTACTTTAACTCAGAGGTCGGTTAAACTTTTTCTATAACGGGCCACTCAGCATATATTTTAGGCATTGTGGACTACAGTATGTCAAAACTACTCAACTTGGCAATCACAGTACAAAAGAAGCCACAGACAATGTTAATGAAAGGGTAGAGCTGTGTTCCAATAAAACTTCATACACACTGAAAATCAATTTTCTTATAATTTCATGTCCCAAAATACTATTTTTTTTATTTTTTTAACCATTTTAAAATGTAAAAACTATTCTTAGACCATCGACCATACAAAAACTGAGGGTGGGCCAGATTTGACCCATTGGTTGTTTGCTGAATCGTACTTCAACTAAAGAATATCAATAAAATACAAAAATAATATACTACTACTTGAATATTTTATGAAGCATTTGGTTTCAAGTAATTGTGTTGTGTATTAGTTCTGTAATTTAAAAATACTAATATTCAAAACTACAGTACCTTTTCTCGGGTATCACTTTCAACTTGCTCATCTTGAGTTACTTCATTTCACCATTGCAGATAATCTACAAGAAAAATGTTAATGATATTAAATACTTAAACAATTATGTTTTCCATACATTAGATGTCATAAAAGCCATATTACTGAAAAATTACACTATGGACAATCTAACACTGAAAATCAAAAGAGAATGAGTGATTCTGGCCAGATCACTTCAGGGTACAATGTGTGACTACTGAAATATATAAAATCAATGAGGAAAACATAATCCAAATCATGGAGCCACAAAAAAAGCAGAAACCATTGGGTGAAGTGGTGTAGGCTCCCAGGAGCTGAGACAGGAGGATTGCCAGCCTCACCAATTTAGGGAGACATAGCTTAGTGGTTTAGTATCCCTGGGTTCAATCCCTAGTACCAAAAAAAAGAAAGAAAGGAGAAACCAAGCATAACTGTTTATGATCACAGTGTAAAGATTCCTTTTGAGACAGTTCAAATCATCATTCTTTCTAAATTCCTCCTTAAAGTCCTCAAACCAATCACAGCATCCTATGACTAGTATACTTATTGGCCACTATTCAAAGAGTAGTGATAAATATGTGTGGTTATCTCTTTATAAGAAAACTTTTTAAATTAATAATAACTTGTTTAGACAGAGTAAAAAAACTTCTCTAATGTTATCTTATTTAATGTACTTACTGCACATTTTCAATAGTTTCATCTTTGGCAAGCATTCATTATTGACTTTAAACAATCTTATATCTTGATTCACACAATTTTTATAACTTTTCAGATTTACTTTGCAACTATTCACCTAAAAATATCCTAAATGTTTAATTTTATACACCAATGCTTACTGAAGCAGAATTTTGTGGCATTACTAGAAAATGAAAAAATCACTGTGAATCTAACAAATTAATCACATTTATACAATATTTAGTAATGCTGCATTTAAAGGAAAACAAAACATACAAGAAAATCAGATTTCAAATTATTCTCTTAATTGAGAAGATACAAGAATTCTAAATTCTATCATAGTCAACTGTATTTCAACAGTTAAATGATTCAAACTTGCAGTTCATAATAAAATGCTTAACCATGGGCATTACTCTCCTCTCCTTCCTGAAAGTGGATTAAAATAGATAGTAAAGAAAAAAAGTTATGTTCAAGGCCACAGCAACAAGAAAGGAATCTAAGGGGAAAGGGGTAATGGGTACTCTGCCCAGAAGAACCCAGGAAACTAAGAACCCGGAGACTCAGAAATGCCAAAACTGACTGCTGAGAATATCATCCTACCTCCTCAATCTCTCCATGCCCCACCATCATGGAAAATGATCAATAAGCAGGCATCTGACTCTGACAAATAATCTTGGAACTGATCACCTTAAAGAATCCTGTTTTCTGAAACTTAAAAGTATTACAGGAAAAGGCCAGCACTAAGCCTTACACCCTAGAACAAAGCCAGTGTAGTGCTTATACTCTGCTTTTTATTGCTGAAGCCTGAAGCCAAAACACTTCAGGAAAAGAAAAACTTTCTGTTGTGAAAGTTTGTGTTAATTTCAGGATGGGGTAACAAAAAGAGCAGGTACTTAGAAGCAGAAGTGCTGGATTTCACCAAGTTTGTAGCTTTGCCAAACAAACTTGACAAAGTGAGAGAGGGCAAAGAAGCTGAATGTGTTTGCCAAGGAGTAATTATAATAACTGACAATGGAATTTAGGTATAATCTACCTTTTCCCCTTTATTGGGTCACTTCTATAATCATAAAATCATGCTGTTATTTCTGGGTCTTATGGGGGAAAAACCTCTCAGGCTCCTATTCTTTAATCTAGCTACTATCCCTTTCCTCCTGAAAGCAGTAAATTCTTTACACATAGTCAGGTCCTCCTCTTTCGGTTCTCTCTTATACACATTTCAATCAGGCTTTCCCCTCTCCATTTCATCAACACTGCTCTTGTTAGTAACAATGACCTATATGTCACTAAATCCAACTGTCATTTACTAGTCATCTTACTCCTTTCAGCAGCATTTGACACCATGCCCTCTCCATTGAAATATTTTCTTCATTGGGCCTTAGTGTTTTCTGCCTACCTCACTAGAAATTTATAAGTTGCCTTTCCTAGAAAAACCAGAAGTCAGTTCTATCTTACCCTCTTCTAATCACAGTCTCTTACCTACACATCTAGTTTTATGACTGCTCTCAAACATATGCACTTGATCTCTAATAATATCACACACTTAACAAATCACTGATCTCAATATTCCCTTCAAAGTGTACCATACCCTAGCTTCCTTCATCTGATTAAAAGACAATTCTGCATTTGTTAAACTGCTCAAAACCTTGGCTTCATCCTTGTCTCCATCCTTGTCTCCTGTTTTATAATCCATATCCAATCCATCATGAAGTCTTGATAATTTTACTTTCATATATCCAAAATCTGATCACTTCCCTACCTACAAGCACGGCCCCGCCACAGTTTTCATTAGTCTCCCTTCTTCCTTTGGTACCCTACGGTTTATTTTCAACAAAACATTCTATGCGATCCTTTTAAAAATCTTAGGTGGAAATCTTGTCATTACTCTGCTCAAAGCCCTATAATACTATTTCAGTGGGCACCCCATACCTCCCGGACCTCATGCTTACCTACAACTCCACTCCTTCATTCTATGGACAGGCTTCCTGGCTTTCCTCCAATATGCCAGACTCACTCTCACCTTAGTGCCTTTGCTCAACCTATTCCTTTGGCCTGGAATGTTCTTCTGTCAGACAGTCCAATGACCAACTCCTATCACTTCCCTGCTCAAATATCACCTTTTCAATAGGGCCTATCCCAAGCATCCTATCTAATATTGTAAACCACCACTAGACTTTCATATATCCATCATCTCTTGCCTACTTTGTCTTCTTCCAGAGCAATTATTGCCTTCTAGTGTGGGAAGATTCAAAAATAGCTGAAAAGGTCTGAATACCAGTGTCCTCACTCCCCCCTCCAAAAACAAAATACATATATTCACATCTTAACCAAAAGCATGAGGGAAAAGAGCCTTTGGGAGGTAATTAGATCATCAGGGTACAGCCCTCAGAAAAGGTATTGTACTTATAAAACAAATTCCCGAGATCTTGCTTGCACCTTCCACCTACCATGTGAGAACAAAGTGGGAGGGAGAAATCCATGAAGCAGGAAACAGGCCCTCTCCAGATACAGAATCTACTAGTGCCTTGATCATGGACTACCCAGCTTCCAGAACTGTGGCAGGAAAAAAAATTCTTTTGTTTATAAGCTACCTAGCTTATAGAATTTTGTTTTAATAGCCAAACATAGTAAGACAATATGGAAAATTGTTTATTATTGACTGGTTATATATGAACATGTGTCAAACCCAATTTTAAAGAGGACAATTTCTTTTTATAAATTTACAATGTACAATATACTTGCCATCATACCACATATATCAATTTGTCATCTAACTCACCCCAGAAACCTTAGCAGTTTATCACCCCCAAAGGCTACAAAAACAACCACAATCAACTCCTTTATTTCCTGAATGTTTTAAGAAAAAAGTAGTAGAAATCCAAATCTTGATATATCCATCATATCCATACTAGATATGATTTAATATCTGGTAGTTAGTTCATTGATTACTACTTGACTCTTTTTAATCATCCTGTAAGCTAGAGTACTTAGCAATATATATTGTTATCTCTCTACCCCAGAATTTAAGCCATATCAGAGTACAGATCTGTTTTTGCTCACTAAATTCCTCTCAAGTGCCTTAGAACAATGCCAACATACTGTAGGTGCTAAGTAAATTTTTGAATGACAAATGCTTTTAAAGTTTTCCTTTAAGAAAGTTTTTTCAGACACAAAAAAGCAAGAAAATCTTCACTTTTAAAATCAAATAATATGGCTGATATGGTACACTGGCATTCAATATCTACCTCAATATAGTATCTTCCAGTATTAAAGGTGGGGGCGGGGGGGGGGGGGACATTTCCCAGAAACTGTGTAATACAGTTTCAGATGATTTAAGTCTACCAATTTATGAGAGATTTAGAAGACAGAAAGTCAGACAAAGGCTGCCTGACTCCATTGGCAAGCACAGATGTAGTCTTGTGTATTTGTCTACAACAGTGTGTGTATACAGAAATCCCAGAGTTTAGTCTAAGGTTTTACAACCTAGCTGGCATCTTCATTTAAAAAAAGAAAAAAATTAATTTTTGTGCACCAAGCAATGGCAGTATCCACAGGAAGTAACAGTTTTGTTAGAAACCAACCACAAGGAATAATACACAGTACGACTATGCCCACTGGAAAAGGCAGCCTTCATAACTGGAGGTTGCATTGCATAGGAGTGAGACAGAAAAGGCAGGGCTCTGAGTTCCTTACAAGCCATCTTCCAAAAATTGTTTCTACCATCCTCTATACCAACCAGGTTCAGCAGCTACTAACTGCTCCCCAAAGTGTTCCCACAAACTCCTGCATGTGCAATATGCCCGAATATGACTGATAATGTAGCCTTTCTGGGGTGGCAGGAGTAAGCACCTCTATCATCTTTTGTATGTCACACACAGAAAGCAGACCACATGTCAAATGCAAGCCCCAGGACTGAGAACAAAGAATTGACAAGATGTGCAGAAATCCTGGAATCGTGTGATAGCTGACTGTGTACTTGAACAAGCCTGCCTTTTTGTATACATAAGCTGTACTCATCATGACCTTAGGGAACCAGTCTGGGAATGCTGTCCCTTGCCTATCTTCCTTGTGCTAGAACACAAGTCCCACAAAAGCCTTATTCAATGTTGTTGCTTACCTCTTAGCAAAAGAATCTTCAATGAGCAGGTAACACCAAAATGAGCTATACTTTGCCTTTTCTTGATCTCTATCAAAAATTGAGCAAAAAAACCCAAGGCTAATTGTAACAGGAGGGCAATGGTAGCCTGATGAATCACAGTCTCTCCCTCTCAAATTTCCTCCCTTGACCTCCCTTATACAATACCAACTGCTTTTTTAAAAAGCAAATAAAATCTACAACTGTAACAGAAAACTGGAGGAAATTTTAATTCTAAT